CCCAACACAGTTCCTAGTTCCTTCCCCCCACATTTTTACACTGTCCTGTACCTCCTACCCCATCGCTACCTTAAATTCTTGGGACTTTTTCCAAATTGGTGTGTGTGCACATCTAAAGGGGTTTTGGACAATGAAACAAACACTTGATTTTAGACCAAAATCATTCATTACAGTGTTTCCCAACCCGGCCCTTGGGTTCCCACTGACAGGCTCCTTTTGCACCCAATACAGCATCATGTTGAGATCATCAGACGTTCAAATTCACTTTCATGTTGATCAAACCGCTCTGTCACCAGTCTTGCTGTGTGTATTGGTGCATTATCATCCTAACACATGACACCACCTTCAGGATACAATGAATCATTTGGTGAATATGGTTCTCCAGAATAGTTCAGTAGTCCTTGGCAGTGACACACCCATCTAGAACAAGTAGTGGACCCAGTGAATGCCATAATATTGCAGCCCAAACCATCACTGATCCACCCCTGTGCTGCACTCTGGATACGCAGCAGTCCAGGTGGTAAGTCTCTTTGGGGCTTCACCACACTCACCAACACCGTAAATCTCCCAGATGTGGGAAAAACAGTGAAGGTGGACTCATCAGAGGACAATACATGTCTCACATTGTACACAGCCCAAGATTTGGGCTACTGGCACCACTGAAACCAACATTTGGCACTAAAGGTTTGGCTGTAGCAGCCCAACCATGAAGAGTGACCCTGTGGAGCTCATTGCAAACAGCTTTGGTAGAAACAGGAGAGTCAAGGTGTGCATTTGCAGTGAGTTGGACTGCTGTGGTTTTATGTTTTTCGATGAACCTGGGTTAGTGCCCGGATATCCCTTTCAGACAGCTTCCCCTTGTGTCTACAGTTACTCCTGGTCCGTCCTTCATGGTGGTATGCCAACATTATCCTGGATACCATGGCTCACGATACACCACAAAAGCTTGCTGTCCTGGTCACAGATCCACCAGCGAGACGCACACCAACAATTTGCCCTCTTTTGAACTATGATACAGCTCCCATTATATGTGTGGATTGCAATATTTTATGCACAGCTGTGCTATTACTCTGCTAATTCAACCTTCACACTCTCCTCTTACTGATGGAATGTGCAATCAGTGAAGACTGGCCACCGGGCATGAAACCTCAAACACTATTGATCAGAAGACTGGCCACCGGGCATGAAACCTCAAACACTATTGGTCAGAAGACTGGCCACCGGGCATGAAACCTCAAACACTATTGGTCAGTGTTTCTGTTTCACTGTCTAACCCCTGTATACTCAGTGTCACTATTTATCTGTATATAATTGGGAACCTGGTTCCAATCAGTACTGCTTTCATACATCAAATCTATTTAATTCCATTTATTTTATTTCTGCTTATTCTATTTTTCTTTTATGTTCTATGTTCTGTGCACCAATACTGCAGAAACAAATCCCTAATACATACAGAGCTACCAGGCCAATAAAGTAACTAGTCTAAGAAAGGGGGCCCGACCTTCCATGGAGTGCTAGCTGTACGGAGCAGAGCCTGTGAATGTGTTGAGTAGCACCAGGAAGCTGTATCAACACCCAACTACAAGACCTGGGCCTGCCTGCTGGGAGCCAGAGTCACCTTATACCACCCTGCCATAGAGCCACAACGTCCCAAACGGTGAACGCCATTAAATAACATTCATCTTAAACTATCCCTCCATCCATCCATCCATCCATCCATCCATCCATCCATCCATCTTCCATATTTGCTTGTCCTATGCAGGACTGTGGGGGTCCACAGTCTATCCCAGAAGCCACAGACGCAAGGCAAGGAACAATCCTGGATGGGGTGCCGACCCACTGCAGGCACATTCACACACATTCATACCTAGTTTAGTGTAAATTCAAAGTTCCAGGTAACGTGATGTTTTGACTCGTATGGGTGAAAGACACAACAACCAACTGCGGCCTCGTGTGTTGAGTACGAGGGTGTGTGTGTGTGTGTGGTCCAGGTAAGCATTACACTGTGGTGACCAAATGTCCCCACAATGTGGTAAAATCTGTTACTTTTTAACTTCTGGGGACATTTTTCAGGTCCCCACAATATAAATCGCAATTTTATAAAAATCTGTGAATACAATCAAAAAACTAAAAATGCCTAATGCCTATTTTGTTTGGATACTTATGGTTAAGGTTGAGATGGGCTTAAGGTTGTCATTGTTGCGATTAGAGTTTTGCCCTTAGAAATGAATGGAGAGTCCCCACAAAGATATGAGTACAGGTCTGTGTATGCGTGTGTGTTTGCGCCACCTACAGTTTATCATGCCAATACTGAAGCGAGGAGCCCGTCTATCGAGGGCTCTACGCCTGCACCGGCATCCCCTTCACCACAGCACTTCTTAACAGTAATAATCTTCCTGTCATCGTTAAGGCTGGAAACACTGAACCATCTTCCTTGGAGAGGGACGCTAATCTGAATTCAACCCCCCCCCCCTCCCAGTAACAGATAAAGACAGCGGTTGATCTAACAGTACCGCGACGCCCCCGCGTGTATCTGCGGCCCACCCGCGCTTTAACAGTCCGAGGGATGTTACGCGGAAACATAAAACCACAGACGACATGCCGCCGTCAGGGATGAATCGGCCCGTACGGCTTCGGGAAACTCCATCCTGCCGGCAGCCTCTGTAGTCGGCATATCACTGAACGCCGGGGGAGGACGACGTCATTAAATAAACATAATACAAATTAAACCATAACACACACAATCAAATAATGCCTTGGAGCTGTAAACACGGGCGGCGTACTTCGGCGGGAATCTCCGCGACGGTCTGCGGCCGCCTCCGTGTTGGAGTTTGGGCGAAGAGGGAGGGAGGATAATAAATAAATAAGAGTATAATTAAGACATCCGGCAGCGGCGCGGTAAGGGTGTCACGTTATTACTCCTGTTCATTAGGAACCGTGTTTTGGCCCATTTTACTTCATGCTGTATTAATTTATGACAGGGGTGAAGACCGTATGAAATTACAGCCAACAAATTCTCACAGTTAACGGGGAGTTCGCTGACAGGTTTGGGATACGTTTAGCAGCAAAATGAGCTCCACCGTCATCTAATAATTCCTCCTTTTCTCCAGTGGGTTACAATTAAGGCTTCCCGCAGAGAGACGTGTGACTAATGGAAACTTCCGGAATCAGAAGGGGGGGGATTGGGGCGTGATAAGCTGCGTTTACTCATGTATGCCAATGAAAGCTGATCTGGAAATTTCCACATAGGGAAGGTTGGGGGGGGGGGATGAGCAGCAAATAACAGGAAACAGACAAGGAGCATCCTGGTCTTTGATCATGGGGTAAGAGTGGGAGAATCCAAAATCAGTGGCGGACGGCTGACCGATGTCACCGCGGTGCGGGCCAGAGTCTCATCAGGACACGGGGGCCCGCCTCTCAGACGGCCATCAGAAGGCTGCCCCCTTTCATGGGTCTGTACAGATTTTTTTAGGATGAGTACCTGAACTTTTGCGCTGAAACGTGCGGTTTCACCTTGAATGCCAGAAACGAGGTCCCTGCGCAGCAATATTTTTTGGGGTCTTTATTAGGATCTTAAAATGTCACAGAGCAGGCAGGTTAAATCGGAACAGTGAATATATGCTGGTTTACAAGGGAAACCAAGCCCCCCAGTTTAACCATTAACTAAACCAGTCATCTTCCCAGTGTGAACCAAAGCATTTTATCACAACACCCAGTTGTGATAGTTTCCAAAAATTATAGAGAAATACCTGCATACAAACACATAGTAGCATTTACAAATACACTAATGAAACTGGCTCCCTCAATTCTTATTTTAACATAAAAATGATCAGAAGAATCTGCACATGCACGGATGGGCAGGGACACCCCCCAGCCCATGCTGGCAGTCCGTCAGGTCAGCGGTGACCAGTAGGGGGCGGCGGTACTCACTGCTGAATGCGCTGCAGAGGCAGTGGGAGAAGGTCCTCCAGTATCGTGTTGCGGAACTCGGGCCTCGACTCCTGGAGCTTCTTGAAGCGGCGAAAAGCCTTGTTTTTTTTCAGCGTCATCTGTTTGGGGAGGGGGGGGGGCGGTTGTTACACTGCCGATCAGGAAGTCATTAGTGCTACACACACGTACACAGACGTACAGGAACACGTGCAGGTGTGAAGCCTGCCGTCTGACATCACACACCGGCTGCCGCTTCAAGCCCTTGGTTCTGAGTCACCCGCTCCGGCGCCTCACTGAGCCAAGAGCAGGATAAAAGGCAGAGCCCAAAACCACAAAGGTGTCCCTCTCTCCCGGATTCTGTTGCGACTCTCTGGCCTACGGAGGCTCTGGCTCTGGACTCCCACAGTGTGACTCTGACATCCCTCCTAATTGTCGACCCATCGCTACATTATTTCTCAAAAACAACTAAAAAATGCATCACGGTAAAGCCTCTCGGGCTGACCCTAACTTTCAGGCCCGGGTGACGCCGGCCGGCGCTCTTAGAACTCCCCGTTAATTGAGCGGCCGTTGCATTATCATGCGAGGCGACGGAGGCGAAGGTTGAAAAGGACGGGGCGACTCCTCGCTGTCACATCGCCGCAATTATGCGGCACCGTGTTCCGACAATTACGTTTATGTAGAGCCAGTGGTGAAATCGATGTAACTTGCGCAGCTAGTCCTTAATCAATGGGGTCGGTCAATTTGCTGCGACCACATCCTTCTTCTTAATTAAGACAGTGATATCGCGGCGGCCCAGGGGCTCAAATAGATAAAGCAGTCCAGAGGTCACGGAGCCAACTCGGGGGTCGTTCTGGACGTCTGGGTGACAGCTTCGTCTTACTTGGGCCATTCGGTGGGGTCCTGTCACGCAGGACCTGGGAGCGGAGCGTGAGGGCCAGGAAGGCTAACGAGCAGCCCCGTTCCCCAGCACGGGCAATCGGATCGGGAAGGTCGCGAGGCTCCGTAATGAGATGCGGAAGCTGGACTCCAGTGAGACAGCTTCGCCTTTCTGGAAGCGTGAGCCTGGGCCATGATCAGACGCTTAGCCTTTCCGACGGTGGGACGGACGGCTGCACCACGTCGCCAGACTGTCATAACCAAAATGGCACACAAGATGGAGAGGCCTGTTTGAGATGCAGCCGGCCCAGAACCAAATGGGAACAAGTAGCCCGGCATCCAGAAAGGCCTGAACTGGACTGGTGACTTCACATTAGTGACTGAGAGAACAGCATCACCAAAAAAATACCGTTACTATATATGAATAATCGATGGTGTTTGCTGAGTAACGGTTGTATGTTTGCTAACAGCATGTCAGTGACCTAATGACCTGCAGTTTAGGGACATTAAAAGCGACACTCAGGAAGGTCCCTTAGAAACGTGCAACAAATGATTAATGACTAAGATGGCGCTCCGAGCACCCCCAAAGCAGCCGCGATGTTCTTGGACTATGTTCCCGTAGTTTCCAAGGAAGACGGCAGAAGCTTCACCCGAAAAGGAGCAAACGGAAGCCGGGATTTCCGCTGGACTATCTGGAGGAAACCTCACCTGGAGAACTTTGTTGGCGTTGTGGATATTGTCGATGTAGACCGTGTAGTGATTCAGGTGCTGGCAGAATCTTTCGAAGCCGGGGCCAAACATCCCGTCTTCCAGGTAGGCCAGTAACGTCCTGCAGAAAGGCCGACGGGTACAGAAAAATCAGCCAACTTATCAACATCGGGGGAGGGGAACAAATTAATAAACAAACATGGCCTGTATGGTATCTATGGTAACTACAGTGGCATGTAGAGAGCATGGCACATCTCGACAAATAAGTGGTGGTTCTGCATGGGGTCCATTATCCTTAATGGTTCTTCTTTCAATTAGACGCTTAAAAATAAGAGTCAGTCCTTTTTTGATTTTTACACGGAACCTCGCTCCACGGCGTGGCACCCCAAAGCCAGGCGTTAGTGGGGGGGGGGGAGAAAAACAGAAAGAAACACAACAGCAGGCTGTTTTCTCCCAGCTGACATGTTTATCAAGCAGCAGACAGTGGGCACGGGAACTTTCCGGTGCAGGAGTGTTTGCCGAACCTGGGAACAAAGGCACATCAAAAGGGGGGAGCGCCGCAGTCGATCCGCCTGTCAGCCGCGTTACTCTAACATGGATAAATGGGGAATTCGTCGGGATGTTGACACTCGCAACGAGCTTATTATCTAAACTTGGAATCACATGCGCGCGCCAACCCACTTCCTAACAATGTTCCCTGGGACTTCAGATGTTTAGAGAAGGTGCACTTTTGCGGTGAAGTTGATTTAAATAGATTTTAATGAAGTTGCCCGCCACTGTAGCCTCCGTTCGTAATCAGGAGATGTCAGCGGAGCGGCGAGAGCGCTAACGAGGGCAAAGGGCAGGAGGAAAACTGCATTTCCGGGTTTCCTGCAGCTGGAGGCTATTATGATAAAAATAAAAACACAAGTTATATTTAAAAAAAAAAAAAAAAAACAACTTTTTTTTAGAGCAATTAAATTCCTTGCCGTAAGGAAGGCTGTAAAAACAGCATTAATATTCCGTTAGCGTCACGCTAATACACATTAATTCTTTGTGGATGCAAAACCCGGAGGGGGTTCAGTCACTGGCGGTATGGTTTGGGTCGGCCGGAACGCGAGGATGCCGATTACTGACGTCAGTGGCGGGGAACATGATCTAGGGAACAATCAGACACTGGGAGGTTTTATTAGGCCGCGCAGCGTTTAAACGGCTAACGATGCTAGTCAACGTGTGTTTACAGGAGATGCGAGGCCCTCTGGCAAGCTGTCACTGTCAGGGCAAGCGGCGGGTGGCAGCCCCCACATTCTGGGGACGGCCTGTAACTTTACCGCACCTGACACATGGGGTCACAGCACTTTGCTAAAAATGTCAGGATAAACATCATCGAATGCGTGTTGTCTAGGAGCAGAAGATGACGCACATACTGCACACATTATAATTCACAAACAAAAGCAAAATCTTGGCTTCCTCTTAAGGAGGCATTTTCATTAAAATAAACAGCTAATAAATGCTTGAAATGGTCTGCCATTTTAGTGCCGTTTTAGTGTGCATCAAAACATCTTTGAGTTTTCCAAGTTTGTTTTTTTCCTTATTTTTTCTCCTGTGAGTGGCCATATTTATTTTTTTTTAAATAAAAAGCTCAGTGAGCAAAAAAAATCTCGTTTTACACATGAAAACTTGTACTCTGACCCGCCATGATGCAACACGTTGACCCTTAAACCGCTAAAAAACACACACAACACGAGCGGCACAAGAACCCAAGAGAACCACGGAGCGCTGAACCAGAGCGGGTCTGGAACAAAATTAATTTTTTATACCAGGCACGTTAAAGACACTCAATTACACTGTAATTTTATTCAACATTTCTCATAGTGACAAGGATCGGCTTCTGACATGTGGGATAGTATTTGATCTATTTTCAAACCACATTTACTCTCATTAAGAAACCCCCAGACGCGTTCTTTCAGAATATTTATTTTTCAAATACTTTTTGAAATTGTGCTACTTACTTGATAAAATGACAACACTTTCAAGTTCTTTATTATAGTTTGCTATAGAGCAGCCACCCAATTATCGCCGCCTGCTATCGGGAACTGTGTCCCCAAACTCCTCGAGCCGCCGTAATGATGATGTACGGCATCGCTGTATCAATACATTCAAATAAACATTTCATTAAGGCACCGCGATACTGAAACCGCAATTCACTGGAGCCGCCCCGATCCCTGTCGCAATCACAAGCCAGGATGAACGTAAACAGAAAAATAAAAACTGCAAATAAAAATCAAAGCCCTATCAAACTACAGGCCGTGGCCTCGTCTCCGGAGCGTTTTGCTTAAGCCTTCTGAACTCGGGTTTCTCTGAAGGGGGGGGGACTTTTCTCCTCAGATTATTATTATTATTTTTCGTCCCCCAGCTCAGTGCGTTACGAATCTCGCTGAAATGTTACGGCTCATTCCCCCCGATCATGCGTGCGATGTCACCGTGTTCGCCTACAAACAGGACTTAGTGGAAATTAATGGGGGGTGTGGTGGGGGAGAAGAATCTCAATTTAATTCCATGCGGCGTGGCGAGACGGGAAAGATGAATGTCGATAGGGGACTTTATTCTTCGCGGGAGAACGGAGCGGTTTCTTATGTCGGCCGCGGATTTAAATACATATGCATATACAGCCACCAGAGGAAAAAGGAATTGTATATTTGTTTTGAATGTTGTTTCATTCTTTATTTATGTTAGGGAAAAGTCAGTGAGGGTTTTAAGAAACGGTCTATAATCAAGAAACAGACATCTAAGCTCGCCGACTTCTAAGCAGCTAGAAGCGCAGATGTTTTAAACTGTCACAGGGCAGAGGGTCTCTCCTTAGAGCTGTGAGACCCCCCCGTAGACACCGCCCCCCCAAGCTCGTGTATGAAGCTCACATTGTGCCAAGCAAGCAGCCAAAACCTTTTTATTATTCCTGTTTTTCCTTAAACGTGGAACGTGAGTATCGGAGCATGCTGATCGCCGGTTCATTTCCCCCGCTTTCACGGGCAGAACTGTCAGCCGCCGTCCGTCTCGCTCGGAAGGCTGGCGCCTCCCGATTTGTCATTTAAGCCACAAGCGAGGCGTGATTTGCACGTGAGCGGAACGTGGCGTGGAGCTCGATCCTGCAAGAGGGACACACCTTACGTACAGAAGCCACACAAAAGCCGGCTGTGTTTGATAACGTGCCAATTAACGGCCAGATAAGGGAATGAATGGCCAACATCACCCGAGCTTTCGCTTCAAATGGCCAGGCCCAATCTTTAGTATCGACCGAGCGGCTCAATTTATGGGCCACTTTGAGGCAGTCAAATGGCGCTTATCGGCCTTGCTCGGACACGGGGGCTCTGCTTTCCAGCATCTCAGCGCAACACTTTGTTTCAGCTTCCAGGCAACAAAAGGTACCAAACTCTCCCTCTAGACCAGGGGTCTCCAACTCCAGTCCTGGGGGGGCCCAGCCCTGCACATTTTGGGGTTTCCTCATTTAACACACCTGATTCAACTTCTCTACTAATTACCACCCATTTCTTGAGTTGAATCATGTGTGGTGGAACAGGGAGAGAGCTAAGCTCTGCAGGACTGGGGCTCCGCAGGACTGGGGCTCCGCAGGACTGCAGTTAGAGAGTCCTGCGCTAGACACAGGGCTGACTCAAAAATACACAAAATCTCCCTCATTCCCTGTTAGCTAATTGCTAACAGTCAGATTATGATAGCCAGAGATTCCCTATCCTCAGAAGTCCACCACAACAGTGACGTCAAACAGAAAGTAGGCGCTCATTCAATTACATATGGTTTGCAACTCAATCCCTAATCCATCGTAGGTCCAACAATTAGGCAAATCTGTCCAGCGGTGACCATCAACATATAACAAAGAGTGTGCCCACAAAACTGTGAACTACCAACAGAAGCTCAGCACTGGGAGATGGATTGACTGTAACCTTTCATAATCTACATACAGTGGTACCTCAGTTCTCAAACTCAATAGAACTCAAATTTCTTAAAAGTCGAACCAACCAGTTCGAAAAAAAAATACCTAGAGCTCGATCTGAATCTCAGAAATCAAACCGTGAACATAAGATAACTTGTACACGAGGGGAAATGAGTCACGCGGCACGTCTCTCAGCGGAAACAAAGGGTAACGCTTCAGTCTCAGCCTCACATTCGCTGTGATAGCATCATACATGTTTACACTAACTGAATACATATATTTAGACAGTAAAAATACATTTAGACAATGATAGACAATAACAGTAATTATTATTATATAATAAAATACATTTAAAAAGAGATTTCTTATTCATTATTTTAATATTAATAATAAACCATTAATACATTTAATTATAATAATATTGTCGTGCCCAGCAGGGACGGAACGGAGACAAAGACGCAGACGTCAGGGTATCGGGGAATACGGGGTTTAATTACAGGTAAGGCAGGCAAAACGCAGACGGGCAATACAATGACCAGACTGGAGAAACAAACTGAAATGCGGACAAAATACAGAGGACTAATGACAACAAGCAGAAACAACTGATCACACGGGGATTCAAAATGGGGTTAACAAGGGGGCGTGGCACACGGAAGGAGCGGGCGATCGGGGCAGGACACATAGTTTTTTTTTTAACTTTACACATTGTTTAGATAGATTTATGTTCTTACTTTTCAAATTACTATTTTGATAAATGTGCTTAGATGTGTTTAGTACAGTATATGCTCTTCCTGTTTTATCCTGTTCATTTTGTGTTTAAATGCTAAAAAACATATTTAGGTGTAATTTCTTTGGGGCCGGGAACCAATTAATTGGTTTTCCATTATTTCTTATGGGGAAAATTCGATCAGAACTTGAATTTTCAAGGATTCGATCTGGAGTTCTAAACGGATTAAGTTCGAGTTCTGAGGTACCACTGTACTAATCTATTATCAGGCTGAAGACGTGCATGTCGATGAAACTGTGCTACGGCTTCACATGGCTAAAGCGCTCCATCGCCCTAAACCGGATCCCTTAGTTCTTCTCTTTCTGGTCGCCTCTAGCCATTCGTAGCTTCTTAAGAATCCACGACGACTCCTGACACTTCACGGAGCGCATTTGGCCACTATTAGATCACACACCGGACATGCAGGTCTCCACACGTGTGGAAGTAGACTCTGCAGCAGAGGCACAGCTCAAACCAGAGATCTGAAGTTCACTGGTGGATATTGTTTTTAGCTTCATATAACTAGATGTTTAATAAGGTGATGCAAATTAAGCGAGCGAGTTGTTGGTGAGCCAGCAAGCTTCTGGTTACCGATCCCCCACCACAATAGTGGCAGGATAAACCACAGGAACAAACACAGCCCCAAAAAAAAGCGGTCGTTAGTGGGCATGCAAGGAAGCTTCCGGAGCAACTCAAGAAATACCGCTGTGTCCGGCAAGTGCTGCACTTATCGATTTTTGTGTATCTTGTTTATGCAGACCGTTAAAGCAAACTAGCTAACCTCAAAGTTCATTCGCACTTCATTAATATGTAAGTCTCCAATTAATGTTTTTTTTTGCCAACCCACCCCCTCCTAAGAATAAATATTGTGTAAATTATTTAAAGGATACTTACTGGTTTAGTGAATGAATGGCTTTAATTGAGCTGAAGATGCTTTCTCTAATGTCCTGCCGCAGGGTTCCTTTGGCTTTCAGGATCTCGACAAAGTACTGAAAGAACGAGGGAGAGAGGAGGGGATAATTGAATGTCTGACGTTTTGTATACATCCCGCCATCTCCGAGGCCGCCGTCACGCGCGGGAGCTGCTGGAGGAAGGCGTCCATCAGCCACGATGCCTCAATTACTCTTAATGCTTTAATCTGTGATGGAAATTTAATGCAGGCTTACCAGAAGGGTGGAAAAAAAACACTGAATATGAAATGGAAAGATTTCAAATCCCATTAATAATAAAGACAATGTTCCATGACGTATCCCCTTTATAATCGACAGCTCAGTTCAAATCATGCGACACCCGTGATAAAAACAGCAGCAGTAGTGAGATCTAGGGCTGACGTAGAATAAGGATTAATATTAAAGCAGAATAATCATCATGATAAACATTAAGTCTCAGGTAAGGTCTGGGAAGGCGGTATAAACATGGGGAAAAAAGACAGTAAACAGCCAGCAGGGTCGTGAACGCTGAACTATGCTGGGTTTGTGTTGCATAAGAGGCTGTAGCGTGTGTGATCTGGCAAGTCACAGGGGTCCGTGTGGGGGCATCTATGACCATGCTGAGGATGTGTCAGCGGCTGGGAAGCAGGACTCTAAAAGGATTATGGGAAATGCGGGCAGGGAGGAGCGGCTCGAGGGCGGGGGGGGGTTGACCCCAGGTGACGCTGACCGTATTGACCAGCTCCAGCTGGTGGCAGTAGCGCTGCTCGGTACGGACCAGTTCCCGGCCAGTGCGGGCCCGCTTCCTCTCCCAGCGCTCCTGCTGCTCCTGAATGCCATTCGAGGGCGGCCCGGTGGGCGTCGGCGCCAGACTCATGGCGAGATGACGAGGGGACCTAGAAAAGCTATGACAGATAGAAGAGGCGCGCAACAGATAAACCCATATCATATTAACGTCACCTTCTATGCTTTATACAGCTAGACATTTAATGAAAGTAAGAACTTTGCTCAACGGTACAACAGCCGAACCTGTCTGAAGATATGAACTGCCAAACCTCAGGTTTAAATCCACATCCCTTCCCAGCAAGCAAAAGCCAAATCTGGCACGCCCTACACACACTACAGTCTGGAAACTGTTGTTTTAACTGGTCATTTCTACATTTTCATAATATATCTCTAAGCCAGGGTTATTCAAATCACGGTCCTCGAGGTCCGAGCACTGCTGGTTTTCCAGCCTTCCTTTACCTGGCAGTCAGGTGAGAAGCCTCTGACCAATCAGAATCAGTAATTATTAAACTAACTACCTGGGAGAAATGAAAACAAGGCCTGGATTTGGAATCGAGGTCCAGATTTGAAGAACCCTGCTCTAAGCAAAGAAGAGCAATCATTTTAAATCCTTTGTATGGCCATGTGCAATACATATTAAGGGCCTGTCCCATTAAAAGGGATGATGTCATTAATTAATCACAGCATTCCGCACAGAGCCATATAGGAAAGAGTGACTCTCATAGTCTGTACATCACAAATAAAAGGGCCAATGACATCGCAGCTCGCGTGCCGCGAGGGACTGGCATCAAACCCCTGACAGGAAGCGTGTCGCGCCTCACCGCCGATAACGAGTGGCGGACGGTGAGGAGGGCGGGAGAACAAAGCCACCCTGCCAGTCTCAGCGCTCCCGCGAGCCGAGGAAAGTCTTTCAGCTCCAGGAGAAGGAGAACGACTGTGCCATCATCATGTACCTGCTACATTTCTGGACACCTGAAGAACCACTATCCCCATTCAGCAAACTCACACCACAGAGGCCGGGCATGTGCACCACCAGCCGCACCCCCTGCCCTCTCTGCCCCTCCCTCATCATTAAGCAGGAGACTGAAACACGAGCAGGACCAAGGGACCCCATCAGTAAAGCCGACCTCACCCCAGTGCGGCCATGACTGAAGGCTGGATCACTGAGCCCAGAATGGATTAGAGACGGTTTTATGGGACAGAACAGTCAGGACGGCTGCTAGAGGCCCCCCATGTCAGGCCTGCCAGCCGCTGGGAGGAATATCACGTGCTGCAAGCAATATTTCAACAAACAACTGGGTTTAGGTTTGTTTAAAAAAGATTAGGCTTTTTTCTCTTTAATAACTGTTCTTGCAAGGAAGCTAAAAGGCAGTATGAAGGATAAGACATGCAAAGCCAACCCCCCCCCCCAAGGAAAAAAGGAGCAAGACCGCAGCACACCAGGTCGACCAGCAGGAGGCAGACTCAGCCCAGAGAGAATGTGTAAGAAGAAAAAAAAAA